CAATACACAAACATAACTCCAAATATAAATAATGTCATTTTTACTGAAGTGTCCCTGTGGAAATGAAAGAAAGTGTTCTGCCCTGTAAAACATAAGAAATGCTCTTCTTTAACCTGCTTTTATATCACTCTCAGCTTCCTCCGCTACTTCAAGTGTCTGGAACCCTTCTCTGCATCTGCGACCCCCTCTCTGCTCACAGAACTATCTCCCCCAAGATCTCAATCTGCTTTCTTTAAATTGGACATTTTGGTTCATCCTTCACTTCCCCAGTTTGTATCCTTACCCATCATCCACCTCAACAAAATAAAAGTCCCCCTAAAGAGTGTACCTTCGTTATAACTCGAGAAAGATATTAAAAAATAAAGACATACCAGAAATTTTAAGAGTTAATTTGAGCATTTATCACTTCCAATAGGGCAGTGCCAAGCCAGAAGTGGTTCAGGGACAGAATTATATACAGAGAGAGAAAGTGCAGAAGCAAAGAAAGGAAATCATTTGATTGGCTGTAGCATAAATCCAATTTGTGATTGGTTCTCCTTGGCATTTCAATTTTGTAACTTTGAGGCATTTGCAGATTTATATTTTGGTTTGCTGACCTAGGCCAGTGGTCATTAGAACCAAATCAGTCTAATGGGCTCTTCATTAAATTAATTTTACAGGAGCTTTTGAGTAACAAATACTTTGTTACTGACAGTGAAGCTTAAGATTCTCTTTCCCTCAAACACACTCAAATTTGCACTCACTCAGCTATACAACAAGCAGCCAGGTTCTGGGCAAAGCATCCAGCTGCTTCTCCTGGGGAACCCAGGAAGCCAGAGGAAATGACACAGCACTACTCTGGTTTGGCTTCTAGTACCTGCTAGTCATCAAATTCTTTTCATCTGCAGACCCTGTCTGCATTTGACACTGATGATACCTTGCACCACAAATGTCTATTGGAACGGTCGCTTTTTTCTATCAATGTTCTCAATACAACTCAAAAATAATTTTTGGTCTCCTTATTACAGATGGCAAAATTGATCATTTCAACATGGTCTCCTCTGACTGCATTTCAGTGACTTCGCTTCCTTCCCAAACACTCTGCAAAATCCTGACTGCAAGTGTTTATTACCTGAGAAAATTTCTCTCAGCTCTGCATAATCTCCTCTGTGAGCCTGGTTTTTTTTTTTCTTTTTTGCTGTATTACATCCCTTATCCACTGTAAGCCGTATCAGTGGAGGGACTTTTATCACACTCTTGTTATGGCAGAATTTTCAGGTTGCATTCATACAGAAAGAAGTTCCTCTTCTTGATCGGATAAGATCTCTGTGAAATATTCTATTTGTCCGCATGAACTAATCCCTGAAAGAATCACTAAAGGATTTCTGTTTTGCTATTTCACTCACTTGTGGTATGCTGAGGCCACGGAGTCATCAATACTCTTGGACTGATTTTGGGGGGGGGGGGTTCCTCGCCCTAGCGGTCCATGTCACTCATCCCAAACAGCCCTAGTTGCCTGGATATGGTACAAAGCAAATATACACAGAACTGAAACCATGGGGATAAAATATTGATATTTATCACTCCTAACATAAAATCACTGAGAGAGCGGCTAGGCTAATTATCTTCTAATTATTGCTCTAAAACTAATGGGCGTTGGCAAAAGATGCTCCAAACTGTTTCACTAAGAACTAACCGTTTCAGAAGAATTCTTATCATTTTGGAAGTTTGTTATTGACTTTTATGCCAGGATTCACAGCAGCACTGTACCCTCAAGCTCCTTGGAACCACACATCCTATACTGTAGAACCCAAACAAAAACAGGCTACTCTTCAGAAGATCATTCAAATTTTCAGTTATTTAAGCCCTGCCCCAGAGACAGCCTCAGTTAGTTGTGTTTCTGAATACCATTCTATTTCACCAACTCCCAGCTGTTTTTCATGGCTGTATCAGTGGAGGGATCAATGGAAGACTACTTCCATTAACAACCTTCAATCATTCAACATTGAGGGCTTTATACAAAGTACTTGAAGTTTTATGTAACTGCCAGAAGCAAATGATTTTTTTTAAGGAACATGCTTTGCAAATGCCTTTGAACTATTTCATTTACAAACATGGCTCAACTGGAGAGGTTTCAATAGATATAGAAGATTTTCAGCTGTTCCTAATTTGATGACTTTTAGCTCACATAGTTTTCCTTATTAAAGAGCTTGCCTGCCAAACAGTTTGATCCTGGTTCTCCCCTCCCCTGCCCATGATAAAGTCCTTAAGTAGTAAAGGAGCATTCTATTTTCATAGATACAAATACGTGCTCAAGCCAAATATAGGAGCATACAAAGCAGAGCTCGTGGTAAAGCTGGAAAGTGATGTACAGGTGAACACAGCTCTTTGTCCCAAATCCTTTTTGTCAGTGGCAGTGGCAGTTGTGACTGTGGAAAGGTCATTAAAGTGCACTGTGGCAGCTAGTTTTGATGGCAGACATGTCAGAACAGAAGTAACATATTTTACTCATCCGCCCAGAAGTTCTTTTCTTCAGAAATCTAAAGCGAGCACCTTCATGAATAAAAATGTATTCTGAAACTTCTGGTTTTTTTCCCAAGGGGCAGGCACACCTAGCCCAAAGAGGACAAAGGAATATATACCTGGAGATTTGTATTCAAGTTTCTACAGCTAAATGGAATCCTGCTGGAACCTGAAGAAATCAAGTAGTGAATATTAAAGAATATCTTCTGCTTTATTTTATTGTTCTATGTTTTATTAGTCATTAGCACTTGATGAGCTTAGTTAATAATATATGCTAATTTTTGCAAGTCTGATCACACAAGTTTTAATGAAACTGTAAGTCAAGGCAGATATTTTCAGCCTTGTAGAGCACATTGTTTCCATCTGTCTTCAGGTCATTGCAGCACAATATGGCAGGTGCAATCACAGCAAATGGTCCAGGATGGAAAAGAGAAACAGGAACGTGTTTCTCATTAATAGGAAAAATCTCGACTTTCTCCCCTTTTCAGATCACATAAAATGTTTTGTCTCTACTTTCACAGCATTTATTACTTATAAAAAAATTAAAAAACATTTATTACTTATTTGTGAAAGCAGCATCATCATATAAGATTTAGAAAATAGAGAAAATATATATTTTTAAAAAGAAAACCATCTATGATCCCAGTACTAAAATAACCAAGATCTCTGAAACTAGGCAGAGCTAGGTTGAAATCTTGTCATAAGTAGCTGTGTGACTTTGGGCAAATTACAGTCTTCTCTATATCTTAATTTTACTCATATGCAAAAGAAGTTGCTAACCAGTGTTTAGATATCATTCTCAAGAGAAGAATCAAAGCCTGATTCTACTCTGTGTTAAAACCAGTTGCCCTGCATTTGCATGCTCGGGCACCATAACAGAATATGATGATTCTTAGGAGAAAATGGATATCCTAGCACAAACATTTTATTACTGACATTTACCCAATCCCTGAAATCTTAAGTAAAGGCTATTAGCTCAAGAACCAATACCAATCTTTAACCCTTGAGATGTCAGGGTAGCTGACTGGAGAAGAGCAACAAGAGCAGAAGAATGGCAAAGGACAATTCTAGAAACTTTGGGCTCCAATCATGCTGAGCCTTTTAGTTCTGCATTGGGGAAAATGGCTCCTCTCGAGTTCCTCAGGGAAAAAATCACCATGACTGGAATTCAAGCTCACTCAAAAAGACTACTCCATATCACTGAGGCAAAATGGTTTGTCTGATGGGTGCCTGAAAGTGTTAAGGAACAGACAACCTAAAAGCTACAGATGGAACCAATCACTGGAAAGTATTTTAATGTCTGCATGTACTTGGCCGGTTTGTACTTTAAGAACCAGTCCCAACAATAGCAGTTGTTACATCTCCTCTGAAAAAACACATTCTTAAAATCAATGACATTCACTACATTTACATACTTAATTTCTTCCAATACACAATCTACATGTCTCCAAATTGTTGACCTATGACTTTCAACTTCTAAATTGATCTCCTAAAACTAGTCATCCAGGGAATCAGTCCTTGACTGTGTAATTTTCTGAGTTGCCCAAAATAATCTCACTGGGCTCCTGTGAAGATTAAATATGATAGGACCCTCAAAGTGCTCAACACTTTGCCTTATCCCACTCATTTCTTTGTCTTTACAAACCAAAATTCTATTGTATATGCAGTTGGTTTTCTGGGTTTGTTGTTATTGTTGTCGTTATGTTTTCTTACATTAGGAAAAATGTCCTGTGCTTTTAAAACTTCCTCAAAACTATTTTTTAAATTTTACCTAATAGTCCATTAATGGAAAGGTCACAGTTTTTCTAACAATATATTTATTGTTGGAGAATTTGATAGTTCCCCATTATTTTATATAAGTAATACTTGTAAGTATTAATTGCAGTAAACATTTATATATAGTATTAAAGCAGTAAACATTCATTTGAAGAAACCTTTGTCTGCAAATTTATTGCTATATGCCTGGTTATTTCCTTTCAATTTCTACTTTAATATAATCAACTTACAAGATTTTCTAAAAACCATACAAAGCCAAATAAAACCAAAGTGCAAAAACATGCAATATATTCTTTGGAAAGCTGTAGAACTTGTTTCCTATTAACTCAAAAAATTTCCAACTGAAAAGAAAAATAACTATCTAAAAATTTAATTTCATTTTGTGGAGTAAAAATAATGCTCAATTTAATAAGATTTTTGTTCAAACAAGATGACAACTTTATATGCCACTAATTTAAACCAGAATATACTTTATGTAGCAAAACATTGCAACTGATATTTTTCTCTTGCATTAAAGAGAATCAGATCTTTTGTCAAGTCATTCAGAGAAAGGGTGAGGTCAATGTAGCCATCTTCATAAGACCATGTGTTTATTTTCTTACGGCATTTGTGATATCATGCTAGTTGACAGCAGATTAAAAGCTAACCCTATAAAGTCTGCAGCCACAAGCCTATGTTAGCAAGCAAGCTCCAAAATCCATCCATAACCATGCTTCTACTTACCCACAGGTCCTCCTGTTGATCTAGATCCAGATATAACAGAAACTTATGATCCTCTTCCCATCTGGTATTCAGTCACAGCCCTAAATTAACAAGGAGAGGAAAGAACGAATTTGTAGGCATTACTTAGAAAACATTTTAAAATCTTGTCAGAATTTAAATTATGTATTCTTAGAATAATACTAATACCAAAGTCCATAACACAACTACGAAAATAATCATCAACCACTTATCCAAAGAAAATATTAATTTATATCACATGTAACCTAAAGAATACTAATTTAATTTAAATGCCTATGAATAGTTTTGAGAAAAAATTCTGTTAAGAAGAAGGAAAAATTGAAACTGGAAAGAGAAAAGATAATAATCCTGATATCTTGTTTATCAGTCTGTGCTAAAATATAATTATAATAATGAACTATTGTGAAATCTAAGAAAACAACTAAATATAATCTCTATAGAAAACAGATTATTTTCTTCCTAGCTGTGTGAAGACAAAAGCACCTCTAGTAACCTCAAAGAGGTTTTAAATTTGGTCATAAATGAGCACTTTACAGAATTTTCTAGTCAATTACATTTGGCAATGTGCCAAAATGGAATAGCAAACTCAAAAAATTATATATTAGAATACATTAATTATCCATTAAATATTTATTAAGAACCTATGTGTGCCTAACAATATGCCTGACATTAAGGCCCCAGGGAGCTCAATATATATTGTGAAAGTAAATTATTTCACTGGTATGATAATCATAAACTCAAACATTGTAGCCTGATGATATATCTGTCTCATCAGAGCAATTTTAAAGTTTTTCAGAAGACTTTAAATAAACATTCTCCAATAATTTACTAGAAAACCTATTCAGATAAGCGTTGATGACTGACATTACATCTGGGACATCTAATCACAGAGCTCCTTTATCCACCAGAGAGAAAACTTCCAAATATTTCAAGGTTTCTACCATGATTTCTACCACTTCTATTCAATAGTTTTTCCACAAATATTTGTTGAGCCACTTAATTTTTTATTAAATATTCTTTGGGGTTTCCTGGCCCCAATTCCAACAGGTCAGGGGGAGTTTCCCCACACCCACAAACCAGCAGAGTATCCATAATTCAACCCAATTCTGAATCTAGTCACCTGGAAATAGCACCTGATTTCACAGGTGAAGGGCTCAGTCCTATGAGACCACCCCCTCTGCCTCTACTTCAGATGGCAGTCGCAAGCCCAGCTTGATACTGTAAATCAGAGGTTCCCATAACCCCCTCCCTGGGTTTAACCAATTTGCTAGAATGGCTCACCAGTACTCAAACATTTTACTTAATTGGTCACTGGTTTATTGTAAAAGGATGTAACTCAGGAATAGCCAGGTATCAGAGATGCACAGGGGGAGAAGGCTGCAAAGCCTTCTCCAGACATGCCATTCTCCCTAAATTTCCACATGTTAACCAACCTGGAAGCTCTCCAAACCCTATTCTTTTGGATTTTCGTGGATGCTTCATTACAAAGATTAAATCATTGGCCACTGACAACTGATTCAATTTCCAGGCCCTCTCCCTTTCCCAGAGGTCTGGGGCTAGAACCAAAAGTTCCAATCCTCTAATCACATTGTTGATTCTCCGGGCAACCAGTCCTCTTCCTCTGGAGGGGTCCTAAAGTCAACTCATTAACATTAAAGAAACACTTCTGTCACTCTCAACACTGAGGAAATGCAAAGGGTTTGGGGAGCTGCGAGTCAGAAATTCTGGATGAAGACCAAATATATATGAGGAATATATTTTGGTCATCTGGATGTTCACATATACATTTTCCTTATAAATCCAAACATCCCAAATACTTACACAGATAGGTTTCATAGCCAAATAAACAATCCCAGCATTATTCTTCCAGGCGGCCAGCCCCATATCATCATCCTGAAATGTCCAGGAATCCTCTAAAACATTTACAGGGATTTGAGACCAACAGTTTGTACCTCTTATCTCAGGGAACAGAGTTCAGATGTATCCCTTGAAGCCGGCCATTGTCGCAACCCCTAGGGAAAACCTGTTGCTCCTGTCTCAGGGCCTGCTCACTGTCCACACTGTCAAATATCAGGCTTCATTGCACAGCCGAAATCTAGACTTTCCTATGATATCCTCATTTCAAGGACACTGCCCTTACCTGCATGAATAAAAGTGATGCATTGAGAAAATTTCCTCTCCCCATCCCGGGCTTTGCACAATAAAGGGGGTCCAAACTGAACTAGAAGTTATAGGTCACAGGAACCACCACTTGGCTTCAAGCCTGACAGCTACATAGTGGGATTAGGAAAGATTTTAGGAACGTCAATTCATAAACTCCAATCCACGTTCTACCTTGGAATGCTGGATGAGGCACAGGGGGAGTCCATTTCCCAACTGTTATCTTTACCAGTATTATGACTTCTGTTAAAAGACTTGTTGACAGGGCGCCTGGGTGGCTCAGTGGTTAAGCCTCTGCCTTCAGCTCAGGTCATGATCTCAGGGTCCTGGGATCGAGTCCCACATCGGGCTCTCTGCTCAGTGGGGAGCCTGCTTCCTCCTCTCTCTCTCTCTCTCTCTGCTTGCCTCTCTGCCCACTTGTGATCTTTCTCTGTCAAATAAATAAAATCTTAGAGGAAAAAAAAGAATTAAACTAATAGGGGCGCCTGGGTGGCTCAGTGGGTTAAGCCTCTGCCTTTGGCTCAGGTCATGATCTCAGGGTCCTGGGATTGAGCCCCACATCGGGCTCTCTGCTCAGTGGGGAGCCTGATTCCTCCTCTCTCTCTGCCTGCTTCTCTGCCTGCTTGTGATCTCCGTCTGTCAAACAAATAAATAAAATCTTAAAAAAAAAAAAAAAGACTTGTTGACTTCCTTGAACCCGGGACTTGCTCACAATCAGCCATGTCTATTCCAGCAGTATCAGTCATATTCGTTTCAAGAGGTTGGAGAGTTTGATCTCTCAACTCCACCTCTTCAGAACAACCAAAGAGACCTGAACTCTGCAAATTTGCCCACATTTTTCCAAATTCCCTTCAGTTGCCACATTTCAATAGTTCCATAAAAAAGGTAAATCCCACTTCACCAGATACTTGTCGTAGTTAGGAAAAGATAAATATTTTGATTGGTAGCTAGAGACAGAAAGAGGAGGGAGGGAGAGAGAGAGAGAGCGAGCAGACACACAGACTACTGAAGTCGTAGGTTGTCATTACACTGATTCTTTTCTATCACATTAACGGCACTTCAACAAATACAATTTAAAGTTAAATGCAACTAATTTAGTGACTATAAAAAAGAGTCTACAATTGATTGGGGCAATAGCATGTTGAATAAAAACATTTATTGTCATTTCATAAAAACTGGCATTTACCATTCAAGTGTCCCCAAATGGATGCTAAATAGACCTGACATATTTTTAAGGTAATTTATTCCTCAGACTTAATACGTAGATGTTTTCAATTATGATAAAGCATTAATATTAAATGCTTGCTTGTTAATCTTTTCAGGACAGTGAGAAATGAAATATGATGCAAATAGGTCTTCTCAAATTAGAACAAAAATAAAGGATGCAATTCAAAGAGTGAGGGAAAATTGGCATATCCTAATGTTTTAAACAGAATCCTAATACCTGCTGATCAAAATCTGTGCTGTGAAAATTAATTTTCACAATAACCCTGTGATCCTATTACTCCAAATCAAAATTTAGAATGGAGTATTCAACTATCAATACAGGTGATTATAAAAATCTACAAGTCACCGAAGATTTTACCTGTTCTATGATATCTAAACATCTAAACTCAATGGTGATTTAATACTGAGAAAGGAACAGGAATGTTTAGGCTACTTGAGCCCCTCAGAACAGACTGAGTCCAGCTGTGGAATCGAGTCTCAACTGTTTCCAGTTTCTGAGAATACATTAGGCCACTTAATAGAACATGCTGGTGTATTGTTTGCTTTTTGATAGCAAACAAGAGAGACTGATTGATTGAGTCACTCACAGGTATTCCTTCCTTCAACAAATATTTATTGAAGGATCATCATGTCAGACACTGGGATAAAGGATTCTCTCATATAACTTCATTGAAATTCAACAAGTAGTTTCATGTTATAATGAGGATTAAATGAGTTAATATTTGCATAGTGTTTAAAACGATGTGGGGCACATAGAAAGTGCTATATCAATGTTTGTTAAATAAATTATGCTGAGGAGTCAGTTGTAATATGATCTTTGTACAAGATTCTGGCATAGGAGATAATGGTAGAGTTCTGAAATACCAGCGTGGGAACTGAGAGCAGGAAACACCTAAGTCAGTGTGTACCCATATAAAAACTCGCCTGATGGCAAATTTCTGTGGAGAAATAAATATTTTATGAGACTGTTATAATAGGTTTTACATTGCCTATAAATATTCACTTAGCAAACACTTCTGAAACACTGCATACCAAGTCCTGTGTAACTGCTTCACATGTAATAACTCATTTAATTTTCACAATAACCCTATGATACTATTACTCCACTCTACAGATGAGGAAACGCAAGCACAGAGAAGCTGAACACCTTGCCAAAGTCATACAGCTAATAAGAGGCAGAGCCTAGACTGATACTCAGGTAGTCCGGCTCCAGAGACCAGGTTCTTAAACACAAAGTTAAAATGTGACATATTTGGGCACCTGGGTAGCTCAGTCGGTTAAACGTCTGCCTTCAGCCCAGGTCATGATCCCTGGGTCCTGGGATCAAGCCCTGTGTCCAGCTCCCCACTCAGTGGGGAACCTGCTCCTCCCTCTCCCCCTCCCCTGCTCATGGTTTCTCTGTCTCTCTCTCTCCCTCTCTCTCAAATAAATAAATAAATAAAATGTGACATACAAAAGGGCTGGCATTTATGGGATCCTCACAGGCTGTCTCTCTGAGTCAGAACGACTCTGTGTACTGGTTCATTTGTCAAGTACTACCATAATGGGAAAAACAATAAGCCCAGATGCCACCATACAAAACAAGATGGAAAGGACTTTAAAATACTCCTTGAGGGACACTTGGGTGGCTGAGTCGTTAAGCATCTGCCTTCGGCTCAGGTCATGATTGAGCCCAGCACTGGACCTGCTTTTCCCTCTCCTTCTGCCCCTCCTCCCTGCTTGTGCGCGCGCTCTCTCTCTCTCTCTTGCTCTCTGTCAAATAAATAAAATCTTTTTAAAAAAAAGAAAAAAAGAAATACACCTTGAACATACAGAAAATTGAAAAGGAGAACTGAAGGGATAAATGGGAGTCTGGAGCTAAAATGAGTCTTAAATTTCACATGATCATAACTAATCACTTGGTATTCACATATATTTCACAAGAAGACTTAGGACCCTTTGAGAGTTGGCGAAGAACATAGTAAGCATACCTATATCCTCCTCAATTGAATAGAGGAAATTCCAATCTCTTTGCCTTCATCCCAGCGCCCCCACTCCGCCTCAAATTAGTCCACCACAAATAAGGACATAAAAGCAAACTACAGACCACAGGGGTAGTAAATACCACTACACAATTTTCCACACAAGAGAAAATGCAACAATTGTGGTAAAACACATTTGAAAGTTATCTTCAACTTGGAAATCCTGCCTACGGCAAAGGAAGCAGACTTTTTCAAATAGCCACAGATGAAAAAATGAATTTTAAAATGTGATAAATTTATCCCACATCCTGAAGACCAAAGAGACACTTCGGCAACTTACCAAGAAAAATTAAAGCTAGAAAACTGCCAATAATTTCTCTGCCTCCGAGAGAAAGATCAAGAAAGAACCACCCCAGTGCCTTCCCAAGGACGTGGTAAAGTTTATTTCTCAGTTCTTCCTACAGTTCAGCTTTGATAGTGAAATAAGAGTTTAAGAGTACAGAGGCTTTCTAAAATGTTTGCAGTCACAAATCCTGCCAACTGCTGCTTCCCCATTAGTTGAGTACTTTTGCAGTCTTCTAAAGCGGGAATGTTAGCTCCTGGTTTGACAATAATTCAGTAAAGAGAAAAACTTCAATGTGCTTTCTGCCCAAAATGGTCAAAACAGACACACAGGTTTCAGCAGCCTGATGCCTGCGCCTCCCACAACTGCTCAGACAAACCACTCTATCAATCATGATTATTTGGTGCCCCCCTCTGGCCTTTCTGCAGCAATTTTATGTAGCTCCTCTAAGAAACTGAACAAGATTTCTAAACAAAACTCCAGAGTGGAATCACAAAAATCTGCCTGTGAGAGAAACCTCATTTTGTCTGCACTTACAATATAATTATTCCAATTCTCCAAGGCAAAGGAAAATCTGGCAGGGCTAACCGTGTGCTTTTAAATTCATAATGTATTTTAGGTGATGTAATTTTGCTTTATGTATTTTTAAACACCCCTCAAGGAACCAGAGAACTCTATCAGTTCTTCACAGTTAAATCAGGCTACCTAGGGTCCCCTCAGAAAAGTTGACAATTTACTTAGGAGAAATCATTCTGTAAAACAGACAGCCTCTGAACACAGGGAAGTTTAAAAAAAAAAAAAAAAAAAAGAATACAGGGCAGTAGAAACCTGTATCAAATATCAGGATAAATAATATTATTAATTAACACTTACACAGTATAATTCCCATCATTTAAAGCTATTTATTGGCCTTCACCCAAGTTCCCTGGGGTTCTTAACTAAAGAGACACAAGTTGTGTCTGGTCACAGAAAGCTTCCAGTAGCTCAAAGTGAGTCTCCTCTCTGTATCCAAGGACTCCTTTGCTGCGGCCACTCATGGGATGACCAGGCTCCTTCTGCTGGGTTAACATAGTCTGACTGCTTTTGGGGAAAGCACACACCTTGGTTTCCAGTTTATGTCACTGAGGAGCTGGGCAAGGGGACAGGGCATTCACACTGGCACTTACCAAGAGAGAGCTGAGCCAGTGCAAGGTCTGGAGATAAGGGGAAGAGATCAGACCCCATGGGGTTTCCAGAACAGTGCTAAGAGTGTCAGATCCTGACAGACAGGATGACAAGGGGAAGTAAAGCTCTAAAGGTAAGAGGGTGATGAGCCAAGGAGGCTCCTTGTGGGTGACAAGAAGGTTATTGTGGAGGAAGGCTTTGTACAGGGTTTTAGGTGTTAGCGGCAGTCCTTGACATAGCAGGGAGGAAGAAGATAGACATAAGACACACACAGAAGATTTCCAGGAATCCCTAATTCTTCTTTCCTTTTTATTTATTAATTTATTAACTGATGTATAGTTGACACACAAAGTAAGATGAGTTTCAGAAGAACAACGCAGTGATTCAGCAAACCTATATGTTATGCTATGCTCACCGTAAGTGTAGCTACCGTGTGTCGCCATATAATGCTACTGCAATACCACTGACTGTGTTCCCTGTGCTCTACCTTTCATTCCCTTGATTTATTCATTCCATAGCTGGTAGCTGATACCTCCCACTTCCCTTTGCCCATTTTGCCCATCCCATCACACCCTTGCCCTGGCAGCCACCAATTTGTTCTCTATAATTATGGATCTGTTTCTGCTTTTTGTTTATTCATTTGTTTTATTTCAGATTCCATATGTAAGTGAGATCAAATAGCATTTGTCTGTCTCTGTCTACTTTACTTAGCATAATGCCCTCTAGGTCTGCTCCTGTTGCCACAAATAGCAAGATATTAAGTTTATACTTTTTTATGACTGAGTAATATTCCCTTGTGTGTATTTATCACACCTTTTTTATCCATTTGTCTATTGATAGAACACTCAGGTTGCTTCCTTGTCCTGATTGCTGTAAATAATGCTGGAATAAACATAGGGGTGCATATATTTTTTTTCAAATTAGTGTTTCTGTAAATAGTAGTGGAATTACTGAATCACAAGGTATTTCTATTTTTAATTTTTTGAGGAACCTCCATACTTTTTTTCACAGTGGCTGTACCAATTTACATTCCCAACAACAGTTCATGAGGATTTCTGTCTCCACATCCTCACCAACACTTAGTCTCTTTTATTCTAGCCATTCTTGATAGGTATAAAGTGATAGCTCGTGGTTTTGATTCACATTTCCTTGATTAGTTATGCTGAACATATTCCCATCTGTATGTCTTCTTTGGAAAAATGTCAATTCAGGTGCTTTTGTCCATTTTTATTCAGATTGAGTTGTTGAGTTGTATAAGTTGTTGATGTTTTAGATATTTTTTTTAGATAAAAACATAAGTTCTTTATGTTTTAGATATTAGTCCCTTATCAGATATATCATTTGTGGGTATCTTCCCCCATTCAGTAGGTTGCCTCTTCATTTTCTTAATAGTTCCCTAGCTGTGCAAAAGCTTTTTATTTTGGTGTAGTCCCAATTGTTGGCTTTTGGTTTTTTCCCCCCTTGCCTGAGACATGTAGAAAAACGTTGCTAAAGCTGATGTCAAAGAAATTACTATCTGAGTGGTCTGTGGGTACATCAGTGAGTTAAATGTCTAAGTCTTGATTTCAGCTCAGGTCTTGATCTCAAGGTTGTGAGTTCAAGTCCCACACACTGGGCTTCACACTGAGCGTAGAGCCTACGTTAAAAAAAAAGAAAAAAAAGGAGAAAAAGGAATTATTGCCTATGTTTTCTTCTAGAAATTTTATGGTTTCAAGTCTCATACTCAGGTCTTTAAACCATTTTGAGTTTATTTTCATGTGTGGTGTAAGAAAGTGGTCTAATTCCTTTCTTTTGCATATAGCTGCCAGGTTTCCCAGCACCAGTTTTTGAGGAGACTGTCTTTTCCCCACTATATATTCTTGCCTCCTCTATCATGGATTAATTGACCATGTAAGTATCAATTTATTTCTGGGATTTCTCTTCTGTTCCATTGATCTTTGTGTCTATTTTGTGCCAATATCACACTGTTCTACTACAACTTTGTAGTATATATTGAAATCTAGGATTATAATATACCTTGAGCACTGTTATTTCTCAAGATTGCTTTGGCTATTGGGACCTTTTGTGGTTCTATACAAATTTTAGTATTATTTGTTCTAGTTAGGTGAAAAATGCTGTTGGTATTTTGACTGGAATTGCACTGAATCTATAGATTGCTTTGGGTAGTGTGGACATGATAACAATATTAATTCTTCCAATCCATGAGCATGGAATATCTATCCATTTGTTTTTGTCATCTTCAATTTCTTTCATCAATACTGTACACTTTTCAGAGTACAGGTCTTTCACTTCGTTAGTTAATTCCTAGGTATTCTTTTTAGTGCAATTATAAGTGGAATTGTTTTCTTAATTTCTATTTCTGCTACTTCATTACTAGTACATAGAAACACAACTGACTTCTATATGTTAATTTTGTGTCATGCAACTTTACTGAACTCATTTATTACTTCCAATAGTTTTTTGGTGGAATCATTAAAGTTTTCGCTATAATATGTCATCTGCAAAGACTAATAATTTAACTTCCTCCTTAGCAATCTGAATGCCTTTTATTTCTTTTTCCTGTGTGATTGCTATGGGAAGGAATTCTAGTACTATGCTGAATAGAAGTGATGAGAATGGACATCCTTGGGCTGCATAGGTGGCTCCATCGGGTGAGTGTCCAACTTGTTTTTGGCCCAGGTCATGATCTCAGGGTTCTGGGAATGGAGCCCCACCTTGGGCTCCACACTCAGCATGAAGTATGCTTTAAATTCTCTGTCTCTCCCTCTCTCTCTCCACCACTCTCCCTGTTCATGCTCTCTTTCCTTCTCTTTCTCTCTCAAATAAATAAAATCTTTAAAAAAAAAAAAAAAGAAAGAAAGAAAGAAAAGAAAGAAAGAGTGAACATCCTTGTTTTACTCCTAATCTTGGAGGAAAAGCACTCAGTTTTTTAGCATTAAGTATGATATTAGCTGTAAGTTTTTCATACATGGCCTTTATTATGTTAAGGTATGTTTCCACTAAACCCACTTTCTAATTCTCCCTTTCTTGCCCTTCATTCAGAGTTCTGAAATTCGGGGACTTCATGGACTGGAACATGCAACTGTTTCTTTTTGCTAAGTGGTAAAAAATAAAACCAAAAAGTCACTGAGGAAAAAGGATCAATAAAATTTTAGTTTTAGGATAAGGAGCAAATCATGGGCACAGCCACAGTACTTTTTCTGAAACCTGTGATATGATACAATTAAGTTTATACTTGGTAAACAATCTCATTTGGAAAAAAAAAAATGGCTCAAGGAAGAGAGTGATAAAATTAATCCAGTGAGGACCTGGCTTTAGTACTATATTAGATCCTACAGAAAATAATTATTTAGTTCTTCAACAAAAGACCAGATGGCAGAAGGCTCATATGCACCATGTACTCACTAAACATTATGAGTATCACAGTTTATAAGCCAAAGATGGTTCTATTAAAAATAGTTTTATTGGGGCACCTGGGTGGCTCAGTGGGTTAAGCCTCTGCCTTCGGCTCAGGTCATGATCTCAGGGTCCTGGGATCGAGCCCCGCATCGGGTTCTCTGCTCGGCGGTGAGCCTGCTTCCCCCTCTCTCTGCCTGCCTCTCTGCCTACTTGTGCTCTCTCTCTCTCTCTTTCTGTCAAATAAATAAATAAATAAAATCTTTAAAAAAAAATAGTTTTATTTTCACTCAATATCATCTTTAAAGCAATATCTGGTAAAATTATCCAAGTAAATGACAACTTAATAAATAGTTCTCAGCGGTGAACATTGGTGCCACTTCCTCATTACCAAAATATTTTCCTGGGCAGATGAACTTAACTGAATCAGAAATCCACTGACACTGAAGTCACACAACCAAATTTCCTATCATAGCACTTATCACATTGTGTTAGGGTTGCTTATTATCTTTATTTGTAGATGGTATAATGTTTACTTTCCTCCCCAATGTCCTTCACAGAGTTCAGCATATAATAGGTCCTCAAATAATATTTTCTTGGATTCAAGTGAATCTCCCTTCACAGTCATTTTGCTCAGTGACTTAATAAAGGATAGTACACTGCAAATACATTTTCTATTCTTTCATAGCTGTGTATTGTTTTTATTTAATAAAAGAGGATCTGATCTGGAAAATATTGTGTTATTTTAGGTCAAATATTTTAGTGGGATCTCAGAAAAATTGTAGGAAACCTGGGCCAAGTGGACAGCTCCAAGTGTCCTGTCAATGATTCTATTCTAGCACCCCACAATGGGGAACACAATTTATTATTTTACATTTGTGAAATGAAAAAGTAAAAATATAAAGTTATTTAAACTGTGAATACCCATAAAAAAGGAAAATATCATGATCCTCAATCCTAGGTTTTAACAAGGATTTCAAAACTGTCCTCTAATACTTCCATGTGTTCTCTGGAAAATATATGTGAATATGCAATAACAATTTCTTCCAAAGTATACATGTAGAATACAACAGAAAAACACCCTTTATTTGTGTCATAACTGAAACAGTTTAGGGGTACCTGAGTGTCTCAGTTAACCGTCTGCCTTTGGCTCAGGTCATGATCCAGGGTCCTGGGATCAAGCCCCATATCAGGCTCCCTGGCTTATAGTGGGAAGCCTACTTTTTCTTCTCCTGCTCCCCCTGCTTATGCATATTCTATCTCTCTCTCTCTAATAAATAAATAAGATCTTTAAAAAAAAAAAAAAAAGGAACAGTTTGCCCATTTAATCAGACAATTCATTTGAGTTTGTCGGGTTTCCACCTACACAGTCTAGTGCAGCAAGAGAGACAAGACCCCAATAGGTAGGTTGAAAAAAATGCTTTAGAACTATCTGATTCAGTGATCCTCTTCTGACATTATGTCAATACTGAAGGGGATAATAATGAGTCAGATAGTTTTAGGTAACTCATCTTCTGCCATTCTTTCTACTCAGGAAGTAACATAACTCTTATGTGCAAAGAGGAGACACAGCCTCGAATCATGAGTAGGTCCAAGAGCAGACACAGCGAGGCCTCTTTGAGCAGCCCTGTCACATCCAATAGGCAAATCTGTTCCAGATGACCAACAGCCCATCAGTGCACAGACCAAGAATTCCAATATTATTCTCCTATCTAAGACATATGCCTATGGGAGCACAGATATTCTTAGGAATGATAACAACTATAAAATCATGTTTGATTTGATTCTATTTTCTGGCTTCCTACTCTATGATGTTTGTACCAAATCAACCATTGCCTTTTGTAAGGGAAAAAGATATCTGCAAGATTGATGACTTCCTTATCTCACTGCCCCTCCATGTTGAAATTAATAAGAAAAGAAACTTTCAGTCATTAAAATTCTTCATGCAAGTACAGTCTCTTCCTGCTCTCCACTTCACACACTTTATCGCCTGCGAACGACTGCAAACTTACAAGTTTCCAATCTAACTTCCACAGGAGAGTCAATGCTACTCTATCTATGGCATGGAAACTTCCCTCTCTCTTTAGAGATTTTACACAGTTTCAAGGATGCAACAAATCTCATTTAGGAGCGGCACACCATCACCCACATATTAACTTGTCACCCTGAGTAATAAAGTTCACAAACTCCATTTCATTTTTTTCTTCACCATGTTGCCTGATAATATAAAAAAGTGTCACATCCCTTTGATTTGTAGCTTGTGTGTTTGTGAAATAGCCTCTCCACAAACAACCTGACGAAGTCAAGGAAGCTGGATGACTTTTTTTCTTTAATGTCCAGGTCTATTTCCCAGTAAATATTCATGTGCATAAACATATAAGTGTTCAATGAGGTGCAATCTTGGTAATTGCACAAATAGGAAAAAGTCAAAGCATGATTGTTCTGAGGTGGGTAGGATTTCTAGACTCACTGCCTACATTAAAAGCAGTGACCCAAAATGACGAAGGCAGGTATGGCATTTCCCGACCTTTCAATTACTGAGTAAGATATCAAAAAATACCACATTGGTCATATATAATTGAAAAGTGGCTATCTGCTCTTCCACAGCTTTCCTTAATTTATGTGTCTTTTGTGATATGCAAAATATATTTATACTTGATCTACTTTAACAGCCTGTTTTCTAATGAACATATTTGTGGTTCACTCTGACAGACACTTAACTACCAGTCATTCTTTTACCACCATTATACACAGAGAAAAGAAGAGCAATCAATCACAGATGCCATGTGGATTTCTAACAACCATGTTTGCAGATAAATAATGGAGATTGTGTGTGTGTGTGTGTGTGTGTGTGTGTGTGTATGTTGAGATCATCAGCTATTCTCCTTACTATCTGGCATCTTAAATCTACTCGGGAGTATCACAGTCTATATAAAAGACATGATAAAATCCAACACTTTTTCCCTGAAATAATCACAAACATAATTCAAAGGGATCACGGACTTCTAAATTTCACCAATAATGGACGATTTCAGGTTAAGAACCTCTGGTCTAGGGTTATACCTATGCCTGATTTTAAGCCATCATATGGCAGCAGTGTGGGGAATGGGTTGGAATAAGCCAAGAAAGGCTACAGTGCAAGTGTAGAAGGTATTTGCCATTTTCATCAGAACAGTGAGCAATGAGGGTGGTTTGACCAGGGTGCAGGCAACTGAAAGTAAGAAAACTAGGAATGAGAATCAACAAAACATGAAGATTGAAAGGGTTTTCTTTTTTTATATCTACATGGAAAAAAAATTTTTTAAACCCTAATTCTTAGCAACATCTGAAGGCAAATAAACAAACATCAAGTAGAAACTTGGTCTTTGAAAAATGCTAAGGCATTTATTGTTGTGTCTTTATTTTACATGAAACTAACCTTCTGAAAACTAGGAAAAAGAGATTCCCACACAGAATTCTTTTTGTAGTGATTAGGTAGTTCAGCTATGTGATTTTTTCCAGAATTCCTAAAGAAGGCAAGTTTCCAGTTCATCCATAGGCTGTGTTCTGCAGAGGGGGCAGTGCCAATAACATACACTATTGCATTTATAGTAACTAGAAAGGGCAAATTCAAAGAAAAGTTTATAAAGAGGTTAGATGCATGGGCCCTTCCCAGCCACCCCTCCCAACCTGGTGGTTATCTCCACCACCACCATCACCCCTCCCACCCTCCCTAAAAGATGAGAGGCTTATTCTCTGGAGAAATCAAACCTGAAGAGGTAGGAGGTGGGGACATGGAGCAAACAACACATAGAAGTGAAATTTCACAGTGAATAGTAATCCCAGCCCTCTTCTTCTAGACTACCACAAGCTGGGCTTAAATCCCCACCCAGGGCAGTATATTAAAGGATTCCTCTACCCCACCCCCCAAAAAAAATCCAATAGTCCCAAAGAGAAGATACCACAAATTTTAAGGCTCCTAAAGAAAAGGCTGAGAGCTCTCAGAATAAGGCATCAGCAGATAAGCTTCTCTGACCCAAGGCTTTCAATCAGCTTTCTATTGCCTCACTCTTAATATAAATAAACATCCAAGTAACACTAGCCTTGAGAGAATCCTCTAACAGGAAAAATAAACAGAGCAAGGTATGACTAGAGGAAACAAAGACAATGCAGGATAGTATAAAGTGTTTTTTAAAACCTATCATTAACATTTTCTGAGAAATGAGTTTATATTAATAAGAACAGAGTGACATCAAAAAGGAACAATGGGAGACAAGAAGCTCTTTAAAATTAAAAACAAGATAGCTAAAGTTTAAAACAAATCAATGAAAGGAAAAGAGAAAGATTCTGTTTTGTGTTTCAAATGGTATGCCTTTTTTGGTTGTGCTTGGTAACTAAGAAGTTAAACACCTGTGAGATAATAAAAAACGCGTACTACGGTCTCTACCTCTCCCTCCTGCCACAGCGCTCCTAAAACCCTAGCAATTTCCTGTGACAGGAATACTGGAAACAACCTTGTTTCTAATATTTGGTCTTTGACTCCAGTTTCTGACATGGGGTTCATAAAAGAATTTAATTTCCTGGGTGATGCAAATGTCTTTCGTTCTGAGCAGACTGTGGATGGCTCCTGGATAGGAACTGGTCACTGGAAAAACCACACCATGACCAGAAGCTTAGAATTTTTACCCGCAACCCCTCATTCTCTAGAAGGGGAGAGGAGCTGGTAATGGAGTTAATAACTGATGAGCCTACATGATGAAGCCTCCATAAAAATCCCAATAGTAGGGCACCTGGGTGGCTCAGTCAGTTAAGCATCTGGTTGTTGGTTTTGGCTCAGGTCATGATCTCAGGGTCATGAGATGGAGCCCTGCGCCCTGCACTGGGGCGTGTGCTCAGCGAGAAATCTGCTTATCCCTCTGCCTTCCTGTCTATTCCTCCGCTGCTTGCATGCACATGTGTGTGCGTGCGCATGCATGTGCTCACACACTCTCACTCTCTAAAATAACTAAATAAAATCTTTTTTAAAAGAATTCCAATAGTATGGGGTTCAGAGGTTTTCCAGTTGGTGAACACATCAATGTACCAGGAAATTACTCCCCAACTCCACAAGGACAGAAGTTCCTGTGCTTGGGACCTTCCCAGACCTATTCTAGCAAATTAATCTAACTTGGGAAAGGAAGTGGTGGGAACCTCTGGCTTATAGCCTATGAATCAGAAGCACAGGTGACAACCTGAACTTGTACTTGGCATCTGAAGTGGGGTAGAAACAGTCTTGTGGGACTGAGACCTCAACCTGTGGGATATGATGCAATCCCCAGGTAGACAGTGTCAGAATTGAGTTAAATGGTAGGGCACCCTGATGGTGTTGTAGAAAATTGCTAGGTGGGGGAAAACCCCACATATTTTAGGACCAGAAGTGTGATCAGTGTGGTAGTTGCGTTAACAGTAAAGGAGAAATATAGGAGGTAGGCTAGGGGTTTTTCCTAATCCCCCACTCTTTCCATCTCTAGCAGCTGCACATTTCATATCGTAAAGGAAGAGATCCTCAGGACAACAGACTGAATATCCATAATTTTGATCTCTAGTTCTCAGATTCATGTGCCAAATGAAATTCTTAAGAAGATACTCTGTCTTTTAATTCTACATGCTTACATCTCATCTGGATTGTAAACTTCTGGAAAACAGAAGTCAAATTTCCTTAGTTTATATCTAGCATTTCACAACACCTGGTACACTTGTGCTCATAAGTAGGTGCTCTAAGAAATCCTTTTTTGAAAATACACTGAAATATTCCAAACATCTCTAAATCTTTTAGTACAGAAGAAACAGGAGAGATGTTCAAATGAGTGTTAATTATATGATGGTAGATCTACTAAAAGAACAAGAAAAATTATCACTACTTTTGAGTTAAATAATGGTAGTTAATTAGATAAGGAAAAGTAACACATTTTATTTCAAACTGAAAACAACAGAAACACTCAATATAATCAGCAAAGTATTTATGATATTTGCTAGGTACAGCATTAAGATAGATGCCCTGAAAAAAAAAAAAAAAGATAGATGCCCTGAGTTTTCTTCTAATACACTACAAGAAATCTTTATCAGTGTCCTACCATGTGCTAAACACTGTGCTAGACATGTCTGAGACAGAGATGCAGAGATGAACAAAACAAAGTTGTCTCTCTTCAGAGAGCACAAAATGTAGCAGGACCAGATTAAAGTAGTATATAGTAATACCTTGGAGGATATACAGATAAATTTCAGCCCAAAGGAAAAATTGAGTTGGAACAGGATTTTAGAAGAAGTCAATGTAAGCACTCTTGAAGAACTAATCAGGAAAACTGAAGGGAAAGCAGTATTCTGAGCAACAGTGATAAACCACCCCTACTTGCCTGGGGATGAGGGGCTGCCAGGCAGAGACTTTAGGGCTAAATCTAGGTAAATTCTGGACACACTGGAACAGTTGATTATCCTATTATAAGCAGATGGAAAAACCTCATTAAAAGACAAAAGAAAATATAGATTTTTGGAGACCTAAAGAATTCCAGAGTTCCAGAGTGTACATAAAGGAGACAAGAAGTAAACAAAAATGGAGG